GCCGACCCCCGGAACCCTGGAACCCCGGCGGGGTCCCGGGGCCGGGGGTCGACAACCCTGGTGGTCATAGGCTTTCTCAAAGTCTATGAAGAGTATTGCGGCCTGGACCTTTCTTTGGCGGGCATACTTGATAGTCTCGTTAACTAGTAGGATATTATCTTGGATATTACGATTAGGCATGAAGCCTGACTGATCTGGGTGTATGAGAAGGTTCATCAGAGGCAATAATCTTCTGGTGAGTGTCTTAGCCACCAGTTTGTAGGGGACTGGAAGCAGAGTAATTGGCCTGTAGTTTCTGACTTCCTCTTTGTCCCCTTTCTTATAAAGGAGGGTAGTAACTCCTTGTCCCATCATGCAAAAGTAAGGAGATCTTGGTTCCCCTCCTCCTCTCCTTAACACTCACTGGGCATGCCCGTGCAAAGAAAGCTTCCCGCCAGAATCTTTTCAATCTGTTGGGGGTGTGGCCAACCCCAAAAGAGGGTGGGGTCGGCCATAGGCTCACTGGATAGAAGATTTTCAGTATTTTACTTGCTGTTGTTCATTTCTCTCATTGGGTGGAACCCTCCTTCAATCACGGGGTATATGGAGGGTGTCAGGATCACTGCTGACAGAAGTTGAGTTTATTCCAGAAAATGTTGCGGTGACTTTGTTCACTGTTGTTGCAACCACAACCATCATATCATTTGTGATCTGATGGCTGGGAAGCACTCTGCCGTGATTTCCTGCAGGAAGTCTCTGTTTCTTTTTTTTTTTCTTTTGCCTTTCTCCTGTTTTCTCACCCCAGAAATTCATTTCGTAATGAACCTGTCAGCCCGCTGCCCCTCAGTGTCACTGTGACACTGGATCGGCCACACTCCTATCCGAACACTAGTGTGACCTCACGCCCAGGAAACGTTGCGGATTTTCGAGCTACTGCAACAATCTAAGGGCCTCGCCACACAGCCTGTCAAAACGCGAAAACGACAAAAATGTGGCAGGTGCATCTGGCCATGTTCTAGCGTGAAGTTCATTCTCGTTTTGCACATTTCGACAACCTGTGTGGCGAGGCCCTAAGACAGAGAGATTTTGAGGAGTTCCTGTCAGTGGCCTTTGTGTCGACCTTTGATTGATCAATCCCCCAATCCCCGCACTGGTTACAGGGGCTTACAGGGCCTCTCTCCACCAGTCACAGAACCCCTTTGTTGTTTTTTTTTTTTTTTTTTTTTTTTTAAATTGAATAGCCCTTGTGTAAGCCCTCTATTCACAGAACCCTATTTCCCCTGTTGAGGACTTACCACAGGCATTTTCTCACCAAAACACTGCCCATGCTCCGCCGCTCACCACACGGAAGAGTGCTACAAGACAAGGCCGGGGCCGGCTGGAACTTGTGGGGAAGGTGAGTTACTTACCAAAAGGGCTGGGTGGCCAAGAGGAGGCACTACAACCTGGATTTTGCAGCAGGGGGGGGGGGGGGGGGGGGGGGGGGGGGTGGTGCCGACTCACAAGAGAAAAGAAACCAACTGGCCCAGCTCAGTTGGTACACCCCCGAACTGTTGAAATACAGACCTGTGTTCCAACT